ACAACAAGCCTTCTGTTTCTGGATACTGCTATATGCAGAACCTTGAGATCTTTATGCAGAGGCACGTTCAGTTAGGCCGAATTGTATTTGGATTATATTCGAGATTCATGTGATCCAGCTACAAACTATGAATATTGCCAAATTACACAATGGCAAACACCTATAATAAAGCGTATTCCACGTCCTTCCCGGATAAGGCAAGGGAAGGTTGTTACTTAGATGTTTTCAGTACACCAACTACAACTGAAGATGGATCACCTCAAGACATTGACGACTTCTTACCAAGAGCAAGAGGCAAGAAATGTTTTGCTGCAGGTGACTTACAGAGTTCTGACAAACAAACATTGACAGACCCCAGTAAAGAAAGTGTGTCCCTGTAGATCTATTACAAGATTCCCGTAAAACACTACGAGGAGCTCTGATTTTGAGCTAGCGAGATGAGGGCTCGTACTAAGAGAAAGCAAAACAAGGAAGATCGGAAAGCTAAACTGTACGATGACTATGACTGACCCTATCTCATGCATTAAATCAGGGGAGTTGAGTAAGCTAACAGTCAAAGAACTCGATAAAATACATAGAGTATCATAAACTCTCATGCAAATACCTCTCCAAAGATGGAAAATTAGGATTTATAAGGCCTCACTACTATGCAAGAAGACAAGAAGAAGAAAGTGTAAATCCCCTTATTTAGCAGTAGTGCTAGTGAAGAAGAGTGGACTACAGATGACACTGAGTGAAAATCAAATAAGTGAAGAGGAAGAGGGTGATGAACTCACAGAAGAAGATAGTGTCAAAGCTACAAGATCAAGAAGAAGGATTGTGAGAAAATTCGAGACTGACTGATGGCTGTATATACTACTGATGCGAGATGCTCTTTTCATTTCTGTTTTTCATTTTGACAAAACTACTCGTTTTAAGGGAGGTAGGTCACGTGACCTGTTAGTGCAAGTCGTCTTTTCCGAGGAATTCAGGAACTGAATGTTTACTAGGCTTTATTTGAATTACGAATTACTCACCTTTCCTGGTCTTTGCCTACATTCAGCTGCTTGATCAGCCTTCTCTTAACTTTAAAACTACTCTCCATAGCAACTGCTTGGAATATTCTTGAGTCATTTTAGATTTTCGCAAAAAGAGGAGTTAACGGCCGATACATTAATATTTGCATAAACTCAAGATGATTGACCGCTGGAATCGGAGCTTATTTGACTCTTCAAGTTTCCGAAAGCCGGTTATTTTTACTCTGTTTTGGGAGTCATTTAGCCTACTCCTCTAAAACTACTCCTACTTGTGGAGTAGATTCTACTCTATCGGTGGAGTAAAATTGAGTGGCCGAAAAGTGCTTTAGGCTCTCAATGTTGTCTTCTGATTGGCTAGCTGGATATAAGTAAGACCTCACCAAAGAAAGATAAGTCTAAATATATTTTTAGACATTTTAGGATGATGTAGAATTATATTTTTTTGAGTCTGCTGTATTTTGTTGAGACCGTCAGTGCGAGACAAATTACAAAGACGAGGGGAAAAGTCCATCCGTGTTGCACCACGAAATGTCTATTAAGTTAAAGTTATAACTTATCATTTGTGCGGGCGGTTTTGATTTAAAGTAAAAAAAAAAAAAAAAAAGATTATCATTTAGACTGAACTCTAGGCCAAACAGTTTTATTTCTTAAGTTTTAAACTATGATATATAGATTTTCTTGTATTTAGAAAGGTTAGTTCAAGCCCTAAGATGACACATTGCAATTGCCCCATGAGGAAAAAATCCAGACGAATATTCCTCATTTGGAAATCATTTCCAATGTCATTCCACGATATTCCCGTAAAAATCTCCGGTAAACGGTGAAATGTTTTTATACATCGTCAGACTAAATCGAAACTAAATCATTCATAAACAGTTCTAGGTAATTTGGGGTAGTTTTAGTTTTATTTGACAGGAAGTTTTGTTTTTTGTTTCAGTATCATTAATTTCACTGTACGTGCCTCAGTATCGCGGTTAATATTCTGGAATGAATCCATGTCTTTCTAGAAGCAAGCTCAGACGCGCTTTTTTGTGGTACCGTTTCTAGTTTTATCTGTCTGATATGACTTAAGAGTACGAGTTGTTATCTTGTATCATTTCTAATATGAGTTTAAGCCACGACTCTTGACTCTTGACTCTTATCTTTTCTATTTTTAATGGTGTTATATAACGTCACCTTGCTTTGTCGATAGTACACGAGCCTGAAAGGTTATATTTATGCAACAGAACTTTTTACTGATATGTCAGCCATCTTAAATTATGGAATGCCCACGAAGCAAAGATATTTACAAAGAATTGATGGTTTTCAACCATTCCCAAGAGAATTAAATAACAAAAGACACGGCGGCCATGTTGGAGGATATAACAAAAGAATTCATTGACAGTTCTTTCGTTAAGTTTCTCCAACATGGCCGCCGTGAAAACCATCAATAGACTGGTGAGTTTACTCTTGCAAATCATGTTTTACATCGCTCCAGCAAATTCAATTAGTTCTTAGATGTGTTAACATTGGATAAAAGACACCTTGACAGTTGTGCTGTCTATAACAATTCCAATATTTGCTCCCACGGCATCCCATTTTGCAACATTTTGAAATTTCCAGCCAATCAGCTGGCACCAGATTTATAACTGCTGACCAAATATCTTAACATAGCAGGCTGACACAAGCGATGTTGTGTGAATTTGTTGCAATAGTGTGTGACACCCCGATTCAAATATTTGGTGCTTGCAATGTTGCGTGCAATGTTACACCGTGTGTCAGCACCTTAAGTAAAGGTGAAACAACTGCATACTTCAAAGGCACTATAGAATGTTCGAGTGATAGGTTGACAAATGCAAATGATCACAGGATATAACAGATCAGTCATTTTCTCATAATGGGATCAAGAACACTCGATTTACGACAGACGCACCAACATAAGTTGACAGCTTCTCCACAGTACGTGACGTTCCCTTTCCCTTTCGAGGGCATGTGTTTTTAAAGACTAGTCATAAAGAAATGGCATGAAAAAAACGTTAGGGCTTGATTGGTTATTTTTTATCAATGTAAAAATAATTCATCTGGAATTGTAAACACACTTTTTAACTGTTAACTCTGACGCACGCCAACGTCTTTCTAATCTTCTCCTTTTCTGCTTCCTTAACCGCTTTGATATCATCAGAATACCCTGGTGCCGATGGGCGCAACATAATAAAATATTTCTAACAAGTCAGTTATTTAAAGTTGTAATTAACTTTTAGCTATATTGGAGGACGAGAGCAGCAAAGTCATCTGTTTTAGATGCTTTGTCGCGTCCCTCTCCAGCGATCAAAAAATCTGACGTCAAAGTGATGTAGGGCAAATATTTCATTCATTCATGCATTCTTGATGTTGTACGAGCAGTTAGAATTTTGGGTCTTGCCGCGTTATTCCTCGTTCTGAATAGTGGGGGTTAACTGAATTGTCTGGCGGTGTTATCATAAAAATTTTCAGAATTTTAGGAATGAAAAGCAGTTCTACGTACAAACATACAGTGGCGTAGCGAGGAGGGCATGTTACGTAATGTGTTCCAAATTTTTGGAAATTTATTGTCGATATACACCTAACTGCAAGAAGGTTGTTAGAAAAATAGAAGAAAAAATTCTTTGGGATCGAATAAACTAGAAAAATTTTTTTTGCATTTTGTTTCTAAAGCTCCCTATGGATGAAAATTACTGTCTTATATATTAGTACTTACGAGGTAATATCAAAAATGCCTATACATTCAGCCTATACATTCAAAACATTGAAATAATTACTTCTGTTTTGAAAAAAAATAATAATAATAATAATAATAATAATAATAATAATAATAATAATTCCTTTTTTTTTGTTTGTTATTGATTATTTTTATCAGTGACAATTTTCCTGCAATCTGAGATTCAATGAATGAAAATGTTTTGGCATTTTCTTAAAACTATTGAATGAATAAAAATGTTTGTTTCTCATCGTTTGTTTGTTTCTGGGGTTTTTGTTTTTGTTTTGCCTTTACTTTTTGTTCAGGTCCTCCAGGAGAACGAGCCGGTCCCCTTCCACACCCATAGTTATGAGAACACTCGTGAAAGTAATCCTTAATTTTACTCTGCCCAGCTACTCTGCCCCATACGACTACCTATACATACAGTCAATATCATTAACGTTGTCCACCGAAAAAAGACATTTAGACATTTACATATTTAGACATTTAGACTAAAAGA